TATATATATATATATATATATATATATATATATATATATATATATATATATATATATATATATATATATATATATATATATATATATATATATATATATAACCCTATAGTCCTCTAGTAATTTAGGGTGCAAGCTAGCATGAGAAAATAGGTTGTGTTAATAGTAGTTGGTTAGATATGCAGTACATCTTTGTTCAACTAAAAGGATTTTTAGCTTGTTTGGGTAAATATGTATGGGTTCTTGCGTTTTTTCACGTCTTTATTTGTTCATCCCTATGGAGAAATAACCGCGAGCTAGCTACTACTAGTCTGAGTTTGGATAGCTTGACCATGTTATTATGGCCAAATATATCTATCCATCATTTTACATAAATAGTGCATCTATCTCTCATTTGTCTCCTTCCTGCTGCAATAGTCAACATACCCCATGTGTAGTGAATGGTGTGATTACTCCATGATGCATTAATCATACTCCCTAGATCCCCAATTTGATTACAAATTGCAGGTTACGGAGTAAAATATCTTATTTTTTGAAATCATTTTATTTACAAATTGGTATATCAATGAGATATAAAAATTAAATATTAAAAAACTACGTCAAAAGTTCTACAAAACAAGAGGTGACAAGAATATTTTATTTTATCAAATACTTAATGAAATTGTATAAACAAACAAAAGTTATAAGTAATAAAATTAAGTTGGATCAAATTTATTTAGGGACGGAGGGAGTAAATGCATTCTTCTCCTATCTATCCAAATTCGATAGGAGAAGAATGCATTTACTCCCTCCGTCCCTAAATGTTTTTCAGATCTGAACTGATTATAATAAGAATAAGTAATAAGTAATAAAATTAAGTTGAAGAGAAATCTAATGAAATCTAGCAATAAGAATTAGTCAGTTTAATGATTTTCTGTTAATTAAATTAAAATTAAATCCTCTATTACTTTAAAAAAATCTAGTGATTCTTTTCTAAAATTAATAAAAAATACATAAAATATCTATATTACTTTTAAATAATATAGTCATGCCGTATTGTGATTATTGTTATTTCTTGTTTTATGTATTTTTAATTAACTTTTAGATACTCATTTTTAAAATATTACATCGATAGTATTTTAAATTGAATTTAAAATAATACTCCATATAGTATTAATTAAGCATTGTAATTCATGACAAAAAAATAAGTGTTGTACTCCCTCGGAAATGTCTTTTCAATTTTTCTTTTTGGTCCACCCAAAAATATTCTTCTCATTTCTTTTTTAGTCTACTTTTTTAAAATAAATTTTAATAATATCCTCTATTTCACCAATAATACACTTATTATTACTTTTTTAATAAGAAAAGAAGCTCTAAAAGTTTATAGTATGTGATTTTTGAAAATTTGATATTTTTTTACTACTTCTTAATAAGCGTGTCAAGTCATTACGTGAAGAATATTTTTCGACGGAATGACGGGGTAAGTATTTGGTAAGAGTTTGTTTTACCGAGTTCCAACTCACACCTTCCCGTTGACTTGCCGTGTGCCATATCAACTCTATTTCCACGTCATTTTTTATTTTTTAAACATATCTATGGAAATTAGTGATGTCTATGAAGTATGAACCACCATACCGGCATACACTATACACCATACTTTAAAAGTTTAAATATTGTCCTAAAGAAAAAAAAGTTTAAATATTTATTCCCTCCGTTCTCAAAAATACTTCTTTTTTTGTTTTTTCTATTTCCAACAAAACATTTTCCTTTTCTATTAAAAAACCACTTTTATCCTTACTTTTTCATACCCTACCTATCACATCATACTTTTTCTCTAATAATCTATCCATCACATCTTACTTTTATCCATCACATCAGGGGCAAAATTGGAAATCAACTACTCCCTCCGTCCCTAAATAAAGTTCATCTTTCGTTTTTTCTTTGTCCCTAAATAAACTTCTCTTTTCCCTTAAAAAACCCCTTTTACCCCTTACTTTTTCATACCCTACCTATCACATCATACCTTTTTACTAATAATCTACCTATCACATCATACCTTTTTACTAATAATCTACCTATCACATCTTACTTTAACACATCACATCAAGGGTATTTTTGGAAAATCAACACCAAAATATCCCTCCCTTAAATCCTCAAAAAGTCAAAAATGGAACTTTATTTAGGGACGGAGGGAGTATAATTTAGCACTTCCTTATTTTTGCCCCAAATCAAAATGGGAAGTCTTTTTGCAAACAGAAGGAGTATTTTTTTTAAAGTTTAATCACACAACTATAATATTCAAATTTATATCACATTTTAAACTTTTGACTTATGAATAATATAATGAAGTGATGTAATTAATTGATCGAGGACAAGGGTGACGCGATTAATCACATCACTTCAGTATTCTTAGGTCAATTTTATTTATTTATTTCTTTTAATCATTTATTGAAATAATATAGTAATTTTATCTCCTATTTTATAATGATTCCATATTCATCCTAGTTTTCTAAACTTTATTTTGAAACTTTTTAAGATTATTTAGATAAACTTAATCAAATCTCGCTATTGGTAGGATAGTACTAATTAACTCGGTTCCTATGTATTTATCGTATTTTAGATTTTTGCAATTAATCATTTTCAATGTTTGACTTATAATTAAATAAAAATTAGATGGTACAAAATATATTAATTAAATAAAAATATGTTGAAATATTTTATAAAATAAATTTAAGAAGTTTTGTTGGTATCAATATTTTATATCAAATTTGATTAATTAACATCAATTTTAATTAATTAATGGTAGAGATTTGTAAACTTTGATATGAAAAAAGTCATAAATAAACAAATAAGGAATACGGAGTAGTATGGAACGAAGATAGAGCTAAAAGGATTAAGCTATGTGTACCCCAACATTTATACCCCAATTTGTAATCCGCAAGTTTGCACCAACATTTTGTGTTGGTGTAAAACTAATTTTTATTAACGCACCAACACTTTGTGTCCTTGTAAATTTTGGTTAACGCCGCACCAACACTTGTGTCGATGTAAATCATCAAAATATTTGTGCATAACTGTGGTGTAGAAATGAGGTATATTTTTTGGTGTAAGTGTAGCATGATCCATACTTAAATGATGTATCTGGCGCATGGACTTTTTCTTCTTCCATTTGATGAAAGCTTCTTGTGCCAAATTGCCAATGGTATGCAAAAGCTTCTTGAAATTGTCACCCACATTTATGTCTTCATATTGTCCCACTTAAGATGGTCCTTTTTGTTGGGGTTTGGTAGGGGCATTTCAGTGGGGTACTTAAGTCTACGCTACTCTTCTCATAGACATTTATCGTCTTTCTCACAAACACGTGGAACTCTTTGTGTTTCACACTGATAGTGGGTGGTTATGTGCCTGTAAGAAAAGTGGTGCATGTATGCTTGAGCTAGACCACCTAGAGTGCCTCTAGGTTTTTCCTTTTTTGTTTGCTCAAAGTTTCAATATTTTTCGTTCCAGAAAAGTGGTGCATGTAGTTCGAGACGGATAGTGTATATAGTGAGTGAATTTCTTCAAAAAAAATACATCCTTTTCTTAAATAAACATCAAAAAAAGTTTCAACCAAATATCATGAACTAAAATGACATATAGATACATAATTAGACAGGTGAATTTATTAATTTTGATTGAAAAAAATGAAAAGTGGACAAGGACGGAGGAGTATTTGTCTATTAATAATTATCTTGTAATGATTTTACAGGCATATTTAGAAGAAGTAAAAATAAATTTAACCTTCTTTTTTGCCTTTTAATATTTAGAGAAAGTGAAAAAAATAAAAATCTAAGATGAATAATAGAAACTTGCAAAAATAAAAAACAGAAATAAAGAACGAAAGGGAAGGAGCAGCATTAAATGCCGGACAAGAAATTGAATGAAATGCTGGCATCGCACGCCAAGCCCAAAACATTGATATCTTTGACCTTTTTTTTGGAAAAATGCTAGGGGTACACTTTTGGTGGGAGACAAATGGGATACAAGTGTACCCCTAGCATTGCTTTTTTTTTTACAGCGCGCTGATGTCTTTGACTTTGTTGCCTTGTCTCAACAGATAATTAATTGCCCGTACCATTTTTTCTTGAGTAATTTACTTAAATAAGACTAAAACATAATGACTTTCCCAATATAGAACCATATGTTTTTATTTCTCAATGTAGGACTTTTGGTTATTATGAATTAGTCATTATTCAAGTAAATGTCCATCATTACTGAACATTATTTCTTCCACGAAGACATTAATAAGTCCTATTTAGAAAATAAAAAAGTTTAAGTCATTAGAAAAGTCATTATGCAAATTTTACTTTTTTCTTTTCACTTTTTTAACAAACAAATCTATCTCTTCTTATTCTTAGGTGACTCGTTTCACTTGCGGCGGCTTTGCATTGGGCGTCCGGTTCAACCACACCATGGTCGACGGCTACGGTGTCGCCCTCTTCTTGAACGCCGTTTGCGAATTGGCAAACGGCGCTTCCGCGCCCTCTGTTCTCCCTGTTTGGGAGAGAGAGCTCCTGACCGTAGAGTCAAAGGAGACGGCCCTAGCCAGGAGCCACTCCAGCGCAACGCGCGACCTCCAGGGCCTGTACGGGTTGGTCGCGCGTCGCAAGCGCTTCTTCAAGCCGCTCGACATGGAGCGGTGGGCCGGCGTGATTTTGAACTTTGATAAGGTGGCGGCGATGCCGCGCTTCTTCTTCTTCCCGGGAATACTGAGGCCGATCTTGCTCCAGCGCTCCTTCCTCGTCGGGCCGAAGGAGATCCAGGTTCTGAAAGACCAGGCCGTGGCGCAAGGCTACGGCCAGTGCACCACGTTCGAGGTCGTTGCTGCATGTCTGTGGAAATGCCGCACCGTGGCGTTGCAGCCCGATCCTTCTATGACGGTTCGGGTCACGTTCCCCACGGACATTCGCGGAAGATCGTCTGCCACGGAATTGCCGCTCCCCCGAGGGTACTACGGGAACGCCATTGTGATGCTCTCCGCCTCCACGACAGCAAAGCAGTTAAGCGAGAGCCCCATCAGCTACGCCATCGAGCTGATCAGAGAGGCAAAGGGCAAACTAAGCTCCGATTACGTGAACTCGGTGATGGATTTCATGGTGTGCAACGGGCGACCGAGGATGTCTGTGTTCGGGAACATATTGGTTTCGGACATATCGAGAATCGGTCTTGAAAAGCTCGACTTTGGTTGGGGGGATGCGATATTTGCCGGCGCCTCCACCGCCGCCTACGGAGCCACCTTCTTAGAACGTCCGAAGAGCGCCGCCGCCGGTTCGGAGAGGAGCATTTTGGTGCCCATTGCTTTGCCTCACATTTCTATGATGATTTTCAAACGCGAGTGGAAGAAGATGACTACGCCTTCCTCTTAGAGACCGGCCTGCCGGTTCACCCTCAAAGTCGTACATATATAAATTAAATACACTACTAGTAAAGTTATTTATTGGGAAAATTTTGAAAAGTTATAAACATCACACCCATGGGATAATATTTCCTTTATGTGATGTCAAGTGTAGTGTCAAATTTATTATTGGTTAAAAAAGATAGGGTACACATGTACGACTATAAAAAAAGTATCATTGGCTCTACATGTCATTGGCATGTTGAACAATTATCATGTAAAATAGCATGGAAGAGAGTGTGCTTCTTGTTGTATTTTAATCAAATTCTTAATGCATATGGGTGTTGGGGCTATATATATATACATACATACATACATACATACATACATACATACATACATACATACATACATACACACACACATATATATATATATATATATATATATATATATATATATATATATATATATATATATAGACTCCAGTGAGATAACACCTTACGGTGAGATGACATGCTTCGGTCAGATGACACAAAGCTCACCAAACTGTAAGGCAAAGCTCACAATATTTTTCAACACTTTTATTTTTTTTTGAAAAAAGAAAAAAATCACTTTGACTAGACTTTGACTGTTGACCGCCCCTGCCGCCGGCCGCCGTCGCCGGACTCCAGCCACCCCCGCCGGACTCCAGCCGCCGCCTCTGTTTGCCATCGCCGGACACCGGCAGCTGCCGCCGGTCGCCGCCGCCGGACTCCTGCCGCCGCCGTTGACCATTGGTGAGCTTTGCTTTATTTCAGGTGAGCTTTGCATTGACCATTGGTGAGCTTTCTAGTGGCTAGTGGTGAGCTTTGCGTCATCTGACCGAAGCATTATATCTCACCGTAAGGTATCATGTCATCTCACTAGAGTCAATCCTATATATATATATATATATATATATATATATATATATATAGATATATATAGACACACACACACATATATATACTTTTGTTGCTTTATATTGTTATACTCCTTACGTTTTACAAAACCTTTCTCTTTTCTTTTTTTTTCATCCATCTCAAATAAAATTTTCTCATTTCTACTAAAAATTACTTTTACCTTACGAATTTTTAACCTACCTATCTCATCATACTTTTTTTTACTACTAATCTACCCATCACATCTACTTTTAGGCCGTTTCTTTAGTACATCTTCAAAAGTGAGGGTTTTAAAACCCTCCTCATGTGGCACAATAAGAAAAGAGACATGTGGACATAATATTCCACCTCTTTTAATGAACTTAAATTATTCTTGTTAATTCAATACTTGCCCCAATCCAAAATTAATTTATTTTTCTTCCCTTCAGAGCATTGACAATGGCAAGTAGAAAATGAAATGCCACACGAGGATGTGAAATATTTTAACCAATCAAAATAAGTCTAGTCAGCGTGTGGCTAGTCAATGGAGTGACATGTCTTACAATAGCAAGAAATTGCTTGTGTCAGTAAAAAAACTTCTTTTTTGTACAGAAATAAATAAATAAATAAATAAACAGAAGTCTGACATGCTCATGGAATGCTTGGCGGGGTGAAACGGTCTTGCCACTCCACACCAAGCAAGAATTTCAGTGATGTGGCACAGTGAGTCGAGGAGATGCCACAATGTTGATGACCATTTTGATGGAGGAGAGGGTGTGCGAGTGATGTAGGATCAACGGGTTGTTTGTGAACATTACTTACTCTGAAGCTTAATTAGTATGGTGTAACATTGTATTCTTTAGTAATGTTTGATATATTTGGTGTTTGGACGCTTGGAAACATAAAGGGTTTTTTGTGCTTTGCATACTCTAGATTTATAATATGAATATTTAGTTTTTTTTTTGTAATTCCCTAGGCAGAATTGTTGTGTTTTTGCTGGCTGTTTTAAAAATTTGTGTGTTTTGCTGGTTGGTTTATATCTAAAACAGATCTATCTGGTACATATTCTGGCATCTTGCGACAGAGGTTGCAACATAAATTCTCTGTTGTAAGTACAGTGGTATATTATGCTTAACTAAATGGTTGGTAGGATTGTCCACTATATGAAAATCGTTGGCATTGAAAACAAGAGTGCAGTTGTTATCTTTGGTAAATCGATGGACAGACAATAGATTGGAGGTAAGGGAAGGGACATAATGAAGAGTAGAAAGGTGGTATTTACCATTAGGAGTATGGACAAAACCTGAGCCAGAGTGTGTGATGGGTAGGGATTGACCATTGCCTATGGTAATAGCATCAGTACCGGTGTATTGATGAGGAGATTGTAGCTGAGAATAATCAGACGTGACATGGGTGTTGGCACCAGTGTCCAGATACCAGTTTCCAGAATGATTACTCGTAGATGCATGCATTGCACGGGGAGCACTAGAGGAGGAGTTCGCAGTATAAGAATCATCAAATCGATA